TGTCGGTTCAGAAATCAATTGCTGTAGCGCAAAAGACTTCATAAGTTCTGTAAGAGACTGGAACGCTGTGGTAGTGACGTTGTTTAAGTTAATATTAAAATCTCCCAGGCACACAACACCATCGCTACTCGGTAGAACTTCCATTAGTGCATTTTCGAGGGATTCTAAAAATGGATTTACGTCATATCCATGAGGCCTATAGATAACGGCAATTGTCAACTTAAATTTATTTATCTTAATACTTATCCATAATTGCTCGATGTCACGTGATACCGACGAAAATGCCCATTTGTCAACGTGATATGAATTTTTAATATATAATCGTACACCGCCTCCCCTTCCCCTATCAATTCTGATGAAATTGTAACCATTGATCGCCACATTATCTGTCGGGGTTTTTTCAGTCAACCAAGTTTCCGAGATCGCAAAGACATCACAATCAGCAGCTTCTAAGAAATGGACAAAACCTGGAAAATTTGAAATTAATGAACGAACATTTAAATGACCAACCTTAAACGCTTTCATTTTACTAACCATAAGAACTAGCTTTTCTTAATAATACAATAATACAGACAGAAACAAAATAAACAAGTTTCTTTAACAAAACAAAGTGAAATAAAAAAAAAGAAAGAAACGCCATACGCAATACGCATCATCCATCCTGGCCATTAAGAACTTTAAACACAAAATAATCGCACTTTACAGATAAAATAAAATTCAAAACTCCAACATTGCTTTTGCTTCCCACCTAACTCAATGCAATTTTACAGATTAGAGGTAGCCGGAGGTAGCTTAATTCTTTATAAAGTTTTTCATTGCAAGTCCAAGTTCCTGTAAATCGCGCACAATTCGTTTCTTGCCATCCGGTAGGAGAACCCATACGTTACCATCTCTCGTCCAGGTAGATTTGTTTCCAACCCCCTTTTTTGCCTCCTGATACAGTTCAGAACGAGTTTTGGTGAGTGATTCGGTGATTAAATAACGAGACCCCTTTAGTTTCTTTTTGTTGATCCACACTATGTTTCTTTGGATGTATGAAATAAATTTCACTATCACTGGCCTCGGTTTGTTGTTTGAGGTATTCATCCGGCCTAATCTGTGACAGTTATCAAAATCGCTAACGTAGAGGTTATCAAGCCCTAGCTGGTCCTTAAAAAAACCAAGAGCAATGTTGCATATCTCCTCATCCTTCTTTTCTTCTATGCCGTGAATAATTAGACAGTTTTTTCTTGAGTAGGTTTCTTGTGCATCTAATCGACGCTCCATATCTAGCAGATCATCCTTCAACGCTGTTATACACTGGCAGATATCATTTTGAAATTTTTTGAAATCTGCCATCAATCTTTCCAATGCCGATGTCTTTTGGGGCTGTTGGGACTGGGAATAATTACTCACAACACCTCCTAAGCGACCTTCGTACTCCATCATGGTGCTTTTAAACGTATCCTCCAAGGATTGCAACTTGTTTTTTAACGAACTCATTATGCCGGATTGCTTAATTAGTTCCGTCGAAAAAGGTTTTTAATTATTTATATTAAACTTTAAAGCATGCACGAAACATTCCAAAATAGCGCAGTTTATCAACAGATTGAAATGAATACGACCGGTCCGCTTGATAGGTAATTTGTATTCGCACAGCACTTTAGTAAATCGCTTTTTAATGTAACTTCTGCACTAGCTACTTCACTGCAAATATCCGAGATAGGAAACTGTCTTATTTCACACTATGGCAAGATTTATTAAGTAACTTTAGCGATTAACTACATAATACGAAAATAACGCGGCCACACAAATGCATGCGTACTACTCGCTCACGGTCATATTTTATATGATATATGATATTTGATATATGATATATGATATATGATATATGATATGTGATATCTGATATATGATGGTTAAATAGTGAAAAATCTTAAATACATAATTAAAAATATATTATGTTAGTAAATAAAAAATTTCTCCCATTCCAATCCCTCGCGGCAATGTTCCCAAAACACTTGCTGCATTGCCGCGTTGTATCGCCAAGTTTATTTGTTGTTGGAGATATGTTTTGGCTTGACGAACTCCAGTTTTTGTTTGTAGCAAGGAATCTATTTCGTGCCACAATGTTTTGCCTTCTTCGCTCAAGGTTCCCATGGTTTCAATGGCGAAAGCAACAAATTCATATGTTTCTTTAATATCTTTGTATTTCTTCAAAGAAACTGCAGAAGCGGCGGCAGAACCTGCGATCAAACAGCTGTTCTGAAGGTGAGAAGAAGCAATAGTGAAATATAATACATGATATATGATATATGATATATGATATATGATATATGATATATGATATATGATATATGATATATGATATATGATATATGATATATGATATATGCTATGCGTGATGTGATATGTGACGTGCGACATATGACGTATGATATATGACATATATGATAATTCATAACTACTGTATACTCACGTAAAAATACAGATCTCAAAACAACAACATGACTTTCTTTTAAAAAAAGTCAACTATAACGAATTCGCGAGTTCACACATATTACTTCAACAGCCCTAAATGATAACATTCAATGCGACACGATTTATATAGACTTTTCTAAGGCCTTCGATAGCGTAAATCATGATGTGTTACTTAGAAAGTTATGTAGGTTTGGGTTCTCTGATGCCTTGCGTCCTACCTTCTACATCCCAAACAATTTGTTAACTTCAAATCGTGTACATACAGTGTATTCAATGCACCCTCAGGAGTACCGTAAGGGTCAAATTTAAAACCGTTGTTACTATGTATTGTTAATTAATGGTTTGGTTGATGCCGTAAATCATGTGAATGTTTTAAATAAATGTTTTGTTGTTTGAAGATATTTAAAATTAATATTTGAAATTAGAAACGTGTGATATTATCAAAAATAGCAGAAAGTCCTTGATTCTGGAGTTCAGTGGAGAAGCGATAATGATATATGATATATGAGATATGATATATGAGACATGATATATTTATTTATTTTTATTTATTTTGCCTTTATTTTTGAGTGGGCGGGGTTTCAGCCAAGGCTGCTCTACCAACCCAACCCACTATACATTTACAAATATCCATGCCCGAACCCGGATTCGAACCAGGGACCCTAGCACCACAGTCCAGCTTCAACTGAACTGCGCCACACGGGCCGGCATATGAGATATGATATATGATATGTGATATGTGATATATGATATATTATATACGATATATGGTACATGATGCATGAGGCATGATGCATGATACATGATGTATGATATACGATCTTTGATCTATGATGTCTACCAAAAGCAGTAAGTCAGCCACAAGTAACAATCTATCGACTATCTCTAACCCTTTTACCAAATTAACGTACTACACTTGACTTGTATAATTGTACATGACAGATGGATCACCATTTTATTTGTTTATTAATTTACTTACTTATTTATTTATTTGTAAGTATCAAAGTTTGATGAATTACAAGGGCAGTTCTTATACCGAGCGATTTCGAATAGCATTTCACGATTGCTTTTGCTTTTTCTTGATATCGTTTGACAGCCAAAACAAGGCGAGAAACAAGACAAAACAAGATTAAGATGAAACAAAAGCAAGATTTATGCTTTTATATGTACCGGGAAAAGGATAAGATGAGGCTTCAGATATTTCGTGTTTATTTATAAAAAGTGGCAAGAAAAAAGTGACTTATGTTTTTCGTGTCATATACAATCACTGCAACGGAGCGGGACAAATCAAGAATATGCAAGTCTTCCCATGACAAGAAATAAAGCAGCAAGTAATTTACAATAATACTTCTTGCAGTATTGGCAACACTATTGGTCTTCTAATATAAAAACAGTCACATCAATCATCGCAGGTAGTCGCCCACTGCAAAACTGGTCGCCTGTGAGGTGTACACAAATTATGCTATTATATTTTCATCGCTCTAGCCCATGTGAAGAAAAAGGCGTGATTGAAATGACTGTTTTTATACTAGAAGAGCAATAGACAAGAAATCCTCGAACAAGACAAGAAGTTTTACTTTGAGATACACTCATTTGAATGATGTCGATATATGGGATACATCTCCATACCCAAAAAAGCACTATTTTCCTTGAGCCTATGATTTTATTGTGTGCAAATGAACCTTCAACCTTGACAATGAGAACATATATGTTCTCGGGTCACATTTTTTTGCGATTTTCATTTCAGAAACTCGAGTTATTGCTTCTCGAATATGTTTTACGACCTCCCGATACAAATTTAATATTAAATAGGTCCATATTAACGGATACTCTCCTTTTAGACGCCATATTATTTATTAAAGGGAAATGCAGTGCATTCCGCCCCAGTGACTTATTGATTTACCTGAATGTGCGCTTCAGAAAACTGATTTTAAATTAAACACAAAACCCGTCTACCGCATCTAATTGTAATTTATATTTAACATCAGTTCAATGCAAAGTTGTAGAGTTGTTTGTCCAATGCAAAAGCTTGGTTAAACTTGCATCAATTTCGTATCTGCGTTACCCTTCGTTCGTAAATTTTCCTTAATTAGGCAATCTATATTTCGGTCGTTGTTTGCTTACAATTTTGGTGCTTCGGGGCATAAAAATGAGAAACTGAAAATATTGGATTTCCATTAGATAATCGCCTACGGCGTTTATTAATTTTCGTGGGTCGTTTCGCTCGCGCAGAGTGCGACCTTTACACTGCCACCCAAAGGTCACGTTTCCATAATTATAATTTTCTTAACGCCTCCGTAATGGTTTATTAATTATTTGTACGTTCCGCTGCGACGAATGGAGCTTTTGTCTGTTTTTGTAAGAAGTTGATTGAATTTAAAACCGGCCATGCATTTTACGTTTACCTATTGCAGGTAGATGCAGGTCAGCCCTCTAATTAAATGTTATTTCATGAAACACCTATCTTAATTAATAATCTGACATGCCATTTTAATTTTCCGCCCACATCCGAATGGGACAATTAAAAATAAAATAAGAAATTAATTAAAGCACTTACCCCCTTTCTCGGCGTTGGTGATCGTGACCCAAAAGTCGATCGTCTTTTCGGGTCCCAACTCCTCATAGTCCCACTTCTTTTTCACGCGCACGGACCCATTCGGTTCAACCGTAACCCATGTGTTCTCGTCTCGAATTTTAAAAGTCTCCCTATCCGTCTCCTTTTCAAGCTGAAAGACATTACGTCCTTCCGTATCACCGTCAGATTCGGTAAATTCGATCCTCTTGGTCGGCCTCACAGCCCTAGTCACGCGCCTTTTCCCGCGGTGCAATTCGCGCTCCTCCAATTGTTGTAAATCTAAATCGAGCTCCACTTTGGCTGGAAGGGGCGGTTTGTAATGGAATAATACTTGAGCCGGTCTCGGGGATATACGACTCGGAATGCGTAAATCGTGAGCCTCTACAACTAATTCGACCTCCACCTCTTCGAGGGGTTCTTCGGTCAATAAAAGATCCCCGGTTTGAGGAACTATAACAAGTAAATTGCTAGGAGTTACAAGGCGATACGCTACTTTATCTCCATCGGCGTCGGATGCCTCCACTTTGCCAATTGAAGCGAAGCGTTTCCAATTCGTTGTAATGTTGTCTCCATCTAGAGAATCATCCCCTACGACGTATCTGTACACTTTCTGACTGAAAACCGGACTGTTATCGTTCTCGTCGTCAATTTCGATTACGATATTCGTCACTGCCTTATCTATTCCCCTTGAGTCAACCGCTTGCATCGTCAATACGTACCTATCTCTCTCCTCTCTATCTAAGGGCTGTGAGGATACAATATAAACGCCAGTGCTACCATTGTTTACGGTTACATTGGAAAACACATTCAAAGTTTGACCGTGTTGCAATTGAAACGCTTGATCTAAATTTCCTCCTATTATACTATAAGTAACCGGCAGAGAACTAAGACCTCTAGCTGCCGCCAGCATAGGAACGCCCGTAACACGAGTTCCTGCGGGAGAATTCTCCATCATGTGTCCGGACCCTTCGAAATTATCCGTGTTAAAACTTAACATATTCCGCCGGTCCAGGACATATAATTGCAGCATGTGAGTGTTCGTTTTGTTCGGCGTTTCTTCGAGCACCATCAAATTTATTGGTCGATTTACTAACGGACTTAAATCGGACGTCGTCATAACCGATCCGTCCTCTAACATTGTAAAAAACTGTGAAAATCCTGAGTCCAATAATTTATAATTCATACCGCTATACGAGTCGAACTTTTTTATACTATAACCTGGATGAGTATCGTGAGGTATAATTGACACCGTTTTAGCGGTGATCCCCAGCGACCCTAGTAAAATTACCACCGCTACGGTAATTGAACCCATTGTTCGTAGTGTTTTCACCGCCACATTAGAATTTTATCTGGAACAAAATAAAAGGCATTATTTTCACAGGCAAATTCAAATAGGTTATTAACTAGACGCAATGTTTACTTTTAAAATATCCTACTGACAAGACCAATGTTTGTTTTCAGTCAAAGTGAAAACTCAAAACATACCGCTAATCAAACATTTACAAGAGGATGTTTAACTACATAGAGCTCTCGAAATTGCTGTTCGCGCGAATTTATGTGTGTACGGTCTCTGTGGCGTCCGATAGACGAATCGTAAATTACACTCTAGCCGCATTGGAGTTTATTTACTATTTCAGTAGGAAATGCAGTAGCGTCTACGTTTACTGGTACAATCACCCCTAGAGTTGACGCATAGTAGATACTCTTTCTACCCCCCTTCCCTTGAAATTCCGTCGCAATTGACTCGAAATTAGGGCGAATCTTAGGTTTTCGATCATAAACCATTGTTACTGAAGTCTCTACGGAAACTTAACGGCACATTTTCTAAAAGATTAGGATCGTATAGTTTTATACATGCGAATAAAAATTTTGTATCAAAACAGTACGCATTAAAGTTTAAGTGCAAACGCAGGGAATTTAGACATTTTATGGGGAAAAGATTCAGATTTGTTTTCGAAATGAGAAGAAAAACTGACCAAACATACCACAATGACCAAAATCTTGTCGAGCGTTAAGGCAGGTCCATTTGTCACCAATATTAATCATCATCACGAAAAATGTTTTCTGCGGGTAGCTCAAACATGAAAGGAAATGGCGTTTTTTACACCAACATCGTAGGAGGACTATGCGAGCAACATAAAATGTAACGAAAAGCTTCTTTGGCAGTAATCTCCTTTACGTAGTTAGACGTAGAGGGTAATTTGGCTCTATAGTGCCGTACAATCAGTGAGTTTGTTAATTTACAAAATATTTACCCGTCGTTCGTTGCTGCGATCTTGTAAGAAATGAAGTTCAAGGAAACTAGTTATAACAAAATTCAATGTACATTGTATCATTTTCATTGGGCGTCGTTTTAATTCTATTTTGAGCGCATTTTCCAACTCTTGTTGGAAGGCGCTATTATGACCACTTTCTCAGGCCGACCGTCCGAGGCCTACAGTTTTCAATATATTTAGTTCGTTCTTTTTTGATAGCTCTGGCGCCTCAACCATGGATAATTTTTGTGTAATTTATGGAGATATTTTTTTGAAATTTTAACCAAACATTCTTCTAGTAAAGATGTAGACATCCGCAAGGCTGCAATGCTAAGTTTCTTATTTATCACTTTTCTTAACGGTTCTTTTAACTCACAGCCAATTGAAAATTAAAAGCATTACAATAGTAATTTTTTATTATACCTGAATCACAATCTCCATTTTAAACACTCAAATGCGTGCGAAAAAGGGCCTTTAAAACACACCTGCTTTAAAGTTGCTAAGTAACGATACTTCAAGTATGACTTTTGAAACTGTCATCTGGATGAAATAAAAAATCCTCTTAGGTCGCTTTCTGTAAATGCAGAACATTTCTTTGGCTTTTGTACCTATCCTTTCGTTGAAGCTTTCACAAACGCGCGTAATTTAGGGTATGCTTCCAAATCTGTTCCACTTTTTAATCGCAGCATTGCTTTAAAGTTTTGAATGAATGCACCAAAATATAGAAGATTTTAAATACCTTTGACATTTCCTTCATATATGCCAGCATTATGGATGCATTTAAGACTGTATTCGTAAGTAACTTCCTATTCATCCATGGAAACAACTTTTCATATTATTCTTTATAATAGGCTTTACTGGAGTTGGATTTTACACCTACCAACGTTTGTTTAGATTTTACAACAATCGATTTAATGGACGGTGTATTATCTTTTTCAACGGAAATCGTTTAATTCACAAAGACGATGATTTTTATAAGCAAACGCTAAGTGACATTTCCATGGCAATCGTGACATTACGAACACCCAGCCCACTTAATTAGACATGTATTCGAGTATAACGTCAATATGACTTCATTGTATTTCCTATTTTTAAATTATACTGCAGGTATAATAAAAAAATACTATAAGATACACGTGTATAATTGGTCTTTAAAGCACTTGCAACGTTAAAGGCACTCCGCTTTGCGTCGTGCCCTTAAACTCGTTGCGCGTGCTTTAAAGACTTGATTATACACTTGTATCTTAATATACTATTAAGTGATGTAATTACAAGCTACAATTGAAAATTTTGCCAAATTGCGTATAATAGCCGTTCTTACTAATAGATATACGTAATCATGTGTGTGATCGTTTCGTTTGAATATGTATTTCAGTATTTGTTTCTCCTTTTAAAAAGTTGTGTAGATGCGTATTTTTTTTCGTTTTAATTTTATCGCTTTTGTAAATAAACCTGATCGAATTTTGCGTGATTTATAAAAACTTTTATCTGGTCTGCGATAAGAAATTTTACTGTTATTCGAAATTGAATGAATGCACATTTGCGTCTGATAAGATCTTGCAGGTGATTTACGAATATGTGTGCGTTTCTCGGCGTAAGTGGGGACGCTACGCTGAACGCATTCTGTCGAAGCTGGGATTGGCGATTTATGTGAAAATTCATAAAGAAGGAGATTATGTTATGGTGGAAGTGGTGGATGCTTTAAATACGGAAAGATAACGAACGACGAGACTTTTTGGTGATGAAACATGTCGTGTACGACAACTTTTGTAAATAACTTTTTTCACTACTAGCGTCTGATGACATGATTATTAACCTTTTTTCCACTTGTAAAGTAGCCTTTCTCGGCATTTGTTCAAAGTGGTTAATAATGTGGATATTATTAACTAGTAGTCAATAATGAGAACTGTCACGCTGTCACTTTTAGAAAACACAACCCGAAATTTCGCTCAATAAACGTTTAGACAAGTTCTCTAAAGTGAATAATTGCCACCATCCGCCATTTCCAGAGAAATTGCATACCTAAAATTATCACATTTTGAAAAAATTCGAACGAAATTACTCTTTGAAAGTATCTCAATGACAGAACAAAATACGGCCTATTTGACTTGTACTTCTACGTACTTGATTGACATGTTAAATTAATAAACAAAAAATTCTGTCCAACCGTTCACTTTCTTATCAATATAATATGTTAATTTAGAGGACTTCAAGTGCTAGTAGTGAAAAAAATAGTATATATACCACGGTAGAGAAGTCTATTATTGCCTTCGCACCTTACACCCTTGGTGCTCAGGCAATAATACTGTACTTCTCTACCTTGATATATAATGTACTATTACTTCATTACATTTTATGGGGAGATCTTTGATTTTCATATAAGTTGTGTAGAAGAAGTGAAGTAATCGTATTGAGCGGTTTAAGATACGCCTGAATATCGCAAATTTGTTTACGGCCAGACTCATTGCATTTTTGTAAAATTGCAAGCAATTAAGATTCCTTTAATTTTGTCGAACGCCTGTGTGCGTGGGATGTATAGAAAGAGGCTCTGAATGCGGAATCAATTTTTTTCTTTGTCAATTGATTAACTGTGTATTTAATCAAACCCAAAGTACGACCCAGATAGAGTGTTCATGTTTTCATGTCACATTTTTTCTATTCGTGCCACAGAATTGTCAGGTGTTAATTAAACTTTGTTTATCGAATTCTTTGGAATTGTCGGGAGTTGGCCGATGCAACTGTGTCTTTAAAATAATAAAATATAAGTTAACATTAAGTTTTTTCCAGGGTTTTTTCTTTATAGTAAATGTCGGACGTATACAGCGAAAAATGATAAAATTCTACATTTAAAGGTTGATGTGTATTAAGTTAATGGAAGGTGTTTTGTGGATGGCTTAGTGACCATTTGCCATTGCACACGGCATTTTTATTTGGCGACCACAGGGCATACAGCAATTTGATAATTAAATTCCACTCACACTTACTCAATAGTCAATACAACGTGTTACCAAATTGTATGGATAAGTTTGTGTACCTGTGCCTCCCATAAGTGAGGCGACTGACTCAGGACTCAATTCCATCTCTTTTTACCACAAAACATTTTGTTTTTTGCGGCTATCGTCTGTGATCCGTTGACAACAAACGTTTATGAAAGTCGGTATAATAGAGAAATGTTTCGCCGATTTGGTTGCATTGAGGCATTGGTACTATGTTGTCTTGTGGATGATTAGAAGTTGATCGTTGTTTTTTTTGTGCAACAGTGCTAATTATTTCAATTTTTTAAGTAAATCTGAGGGATTGTGTAGGAAGTAAGCACAGAGTTGGTTCGTTTTATTTGAATTTGAGTCTCAGTGTTCTTTTTCCTTTTACAAATTTTGCAAAGGAGGAAAAAGTTTATTTTGTAGTAGATGGTAAAATAGATTGTACATCTTTTTACGCTAAATTACGGGCATTTGTTTTGTAGAAGACGCAGTTCGTAATTTTTTTAAATACATCTGCGCAGAAGCAAGCTGACAAGAGTTGTGTGAGAAGATTCCGGAAAAAGTTTTGTCGACTTGAATAAGGAAGCAGCGAATACAGCGAGGCCTTTTGTTAAGGTTCTTATTAAAAGTTAAAAGTTTCTACCGTCCGAACAGCCACCGAAATTTTTTTGCGCCTTATTCAAGCCAGTTTTGTTTGTCATCTAATTCTGTGTTATAAAGCTAAGTACTGTTCAGAAGCAGAAACATGTGTGTGCGTTAGGTGCGCCTTATATAGTAAATCTTGTACGACCAGATTATTTGAATTATTAAGAGAAAAACTATTCATGAGTAATTTTAATATTTCGTATTTTATTTGTGAACCGCCTCCGTGCGGGGTAATATGTACAAATAAGATTTGTAAGCTTTTCTTTCATGCAGGGATTTTGCTTTAGTTTTTGTTTCATTGCGTTTCGGAATAAGATTGTTGTCATCGTCAATCAATTAATTGTGTGTTTATTCGAAACCAGTGCGACCCAGACAGAGTTTTCATGTCAGATTTGTAGTATTACTTTTGTTCTCGCTTTTGCTCTTCAATAATTTAGTAGATTTTGATGTTTTTTTGTAATTTTAGACGCAA